CTCCCTGGAGAAGGTCGGCTACGCCACGGGGGCTCGAGCTAAAAAGCGTCTTCCGTGTTCTTTTCGTTGTCGTGTTCCTTCGTTGTGCCTTCATTCTGCCATTTTGCTGCGAGACGAAATCAAAAACGGAAACGGTCCACGAAACCGCCAGAACACCGTCAGCTCGAGCCCTGTACGCCACAGACGCCCCTGGAGCCTTCCAAGAAGGCCTCCGCCCTCTGAGCAGCCCATCCCTCCTCCTCAAAGGCCGGCCCCCTCGCGCCACCGTCTCATGAGCACCGCCGCTCGCACGGAGGGTCTCGCAGCTTGTCGCCCACAGGTGGCGCCCCCCCCCCTCTCCCCTAGACCCCCGCGGCAAGCCCTGAGGTCATCCGAAGACGCCCCATGAGCTTATATGTTGCATTCGCGGCACCAACAGGCGTCGTGGGGGGAGGGGAGGGGGGGACGGGAGGGGGCATGGCCCCCCCCCCAGGCTGTGGTGCCGGACGCACTGCGGCAGTGCAGGGGGGACGCACTGAGAGGGGGGAGCGTGACGTTGTGCGGGGGGCAGGGGGGGGGGAGGGCAGGGGCGGCGCCGGAGGCACCGCCAGGGGGGAGTCCAGCGCGGATCCGAGAAATCCGCGCGGACCTCTGAGTTGTTATGTTTCTGTCATTGCTCGTTCCCCCAGCCCCGAGGTTCGGCGGTCGTCGGAGAACGCCGGCTATACACCTGCACCGATCCTGGCCAGGCCGCTCATGGGCCCAGGATTGGTGTACTTTTCCCTCGGGGTCTCCCTCGCCCTCTGAGAAGACGCACAGGGAGAGTTCGGTGCCGGCAGTCTGCTTCCGGAGAGCACACGCGCCACCCTGGCTCTCGTCGATATCCCGCCGCGTGCGCTCTCCGAGCCGGGTCCAGCAGGCAGAGGATGCCCAGTTTCAGTAGGGGCTCGACCACAAGAGACCTTCCACAAGAAACCCAACCCTGAGACCACAGGACGTCCGTTGACTATTGGTGCGAGAACGTCGCGCATTCGATCGCAAAACCATCGAAACCCAGGAAGCCAACGGCACCCCGGAGGCAAGCAGGGTGCTTCTCGGCATGGGTCTCCGCTGCATCGCTGGAGCCGGATCGGCCCGTGCTGGCCCCGGGGCCATAGGGCCGGGCGAGCACGCCCGGCGTAAAAAATCGGGGGCGGACAGACCCCCCTTTAGTAAAACATGGTTTACAGTCGGGGCGTTGACCTAAGGAACCCTAAACAAGGAACGAGGCCCCTCTTTTCAATAAGTTAAACTTCGATTTCCCATGCAAAAACCTACGGGGAACCCGAGGCAAACTGTAAAACAATCAAGGAACACCGAGCCCCTCCCCAACGAAAAGCGTTCCTTCTTCAGGGCCCCGACTGTAGTGAAAACGACCTGAGGCCCAAACCTGGCGGGCGCAAGTCTGGAAAATAACGGCCACGGCGCCCTCTCGAGGACCGAAAGCGGACAATTCACGAATCGACGTGTCACTGTTGGGGGTTCTGTCCACCCCCGAAAAAAAGAGTCGCAGCACCAGGGCATGGCCGGGAGGCCAGCAGGAGGGTCCCCGAGCGCGGGGGGCAGAAAGACAGGAGAGCCCGAAATCGAAGCGATCAAGTCGGATCGGTGATCGAAATGAATCGGGTCGGCGGACATCGGCAGCCAAGTCGGGCGAAGTCGAATTGGCGGATGGGCTAGGAGTGCCTACATTGATAAACGGAATCAAGATAATCGGAATCGGAACCCATCGAAATTGATTCGAGTGCAGCAGGTGGCGTCGAAATGAGCCCTGCAGGGCCACAAATCAGAGTCCGGCAGCGGCGCAGGGCTCCAGCGCGGCGGCGCGGCGGGCGCCCCGGCCTCGGCTGCGAAGCCGCTTGCCAGGAGGGCGGTGCCTGAGGCGGGGGAGGAGGGGGGGAGACTATGTGATCGACCACGGACCCCGTGGTACGAATCGCTCCTGGGCCATCTTCGGCCGCCTTCGGACGGTCTTCGGCGGCATTCGGCGATCTTCTTCCTCGGTCTTCTGACGGTCTTCGGCGGTTTCTGGCGGTCTTCGGCAGTTTTCAGCGGATTTCGTCGCGAAAGCTGGATGACTGCGCTCTACAAGGGGTACACATGATCGAACACCGGCGTGAGAGAGGGGGGCCTACAGTCAACCCGTATAAGAAGAACGCACGATAAAGATGCAAGAGCCCTGGAAGCCACGAAAAAAAACCATGGGAACAAGACCCTTGTTGCATTAGAACAGGACCACGAAAAAATCGTGATCAGACTCATGTTTGACTCATCTTGAAGATTCTCCCTGTAGGGGGGCATGCCCGACTTAACTGTAAGGCGGAAGGGGAGGGGCAAGTTAGGCCAGGGCAGCCCCGATGGGGAAGCGAATCGCAGGTCCGAAGGGGCCCGTCGGAGAAGGGAACTTTTTGCAACCCTGGCTCAGGAGGTGGGACCGGAGGGGGAGGGGCAGGGCAAGGGCAGGGGAGTCAATGGAGGAAAA